CACACCTGCTCTCTTATATTTGCATTGGCTACCAGTCAAGTGTCGAGTGGATTATGAAAAACCCGCTGCTGCTGCTGCTACACAATGTTTGCAGGAGATGATCTGTGTTTATTCGCCAACCATATCTCTGAGATCTTCGGATCAACTTCTTCTAAGGACTCCGAGGTCAAGGCTCTCTGTTCCTGCGTTGATCGGGGTTTTTGTTGTTGTTGTTGTTCCTGGAACACTGCGCAGTTCTTGGAGCACGGAACACAACGCCTTTGCTATTAAGGCAATCGGAAGACGGAGCTATTTAAGTGCATCTTGAAAACTCACCTACACATTCTTTTTCCACGTGTTTTTTTTTATTGTGGTAAGCGCACAACCCCGGTACAACGCGTCGATAGCTTCTGGGTAGGGGGACAGAAACACCGAGAGGGTGGGGGGGAACTTTCGGTGCTTGCCCGTGCCAAGGTATGGGGGGGGGGGGCTCAATGTCCACCCTGAGGGGGTCTTCCGACGGGGGGAGAGGGGGGTTTCTGTTTAAAAGGGGGGAGGGGGGCGTAGAGGGAGTATGATTCTAGGGGGAGATTGGGTGTTGGGGGGGGGATGGATAAGGAACACGCTCCGAATCTCGTAACATACACGCGGCTTTATGTGTTGGGGTGGCAATCTCTCCTCGACTCTGAGTCCATCTTATCTCACCAACTGACGAAAGGGAAAACATGGAGGAGGAGGAGGAGGAGGGGGGGAATCTCTAAACTCGCCTTCATCAATGCCCTAGTCCTGGCCGTTTACCCTGATTCTGTTCATTTCCTGCTATCCATACACGGTGCATTGGGATCTACGATATGTATTCGCCTTACAAATGTACATTATTATTTTAGTATTTTTATTACTAACTTTAATTATTTGTATTTTACCAGGTAAGACCCACTAAGCTATAGAGCTCGTTTTTGCAGAAGCAATATGGCCACAAAGTATACAGCTCAACGAAGTGGCTGGTCACATGGAAATGTATAGCAGCAACATACTCTAAACGCATGTTTTGAAAGGTGGAGGGGAAAACCGGAGGACTCGGAGAAAAATACACGCGACCACGGGGAAAGAGACACGCAAAGTCCAAATCTACAGGCGTTAGGGTCGAACCCACGACCTCATGTATACAAGGCGAGGTAGTTAACATCTCCCGACCGAGTTGATGAGTGTCAGATATTGAGTGTGAGTCGGTGAGTGTGAGTTGGTGAGGGTGAGTCAGTGAGTAAGTGTGAGTCTGTGAGTGTGAGTGGGTGAGTGAGTGAGTGTGAGTCGGTGAGCGTGAGTCGGTGTGTGAGATGGTAAGTGAGTGTGAGTGGGTGAGTGAGTGAGTAAGTGTGAGTCAGTGAGTGTGAGTTGGTGAGTGTGAGTCGGTGAGTGTGAGTCGGTGAGTGTAAGTCGATGAATGAGTGTGAGTCGGTGAATGAGTGTGAGTCGGTGAATGAGTGTGAGTTGGTGAGTGTGAGTTGGTGAGTGTGAGTCGGTGAGTGTAAGTCGGTGAGTGTAAGTCGGTGTGTGAGATGGTAAGTGAGTGTGAGTGGGTGAGTGAGTAAGTGTGAGTCAGTGAGTGTGAGTTGGTGAGTGTGAGTCAGTGAGTGTGAGTCGGTGAGTGTGAGTCAGTGAGTGTGAGTTGGTGAGTGTGAGTCGGTGTGTGAGATGGTGAGTGTGAGTGGGTGAGTGAGTAAGTGTGAGTCGGTGAGTGTGAGTCGGTGAGTGTAAGTCGGTGAGTGTGAGTCGGTGAGTGTGAGTCGGTGAATGAGTGTGAGTTGGTGAATGTTAGTCGGTGAGTGTAAGTCGGTGAGTGTGAGTTGGTGAGTGTTAGTCGGTGAGTGTGAGTCGGTGAGTGTGAGTCGGTGAATGAGTGTGAGTTGGTGAGTGTGAGTCAGTGAGTGTAAGTGGGTGAGTGTGAGTCGGTGAGTGTAAGTCGGTGAGTGTGAGTCAGTGAATGAGTGTGAGTTGGTGAGTGTAAGTCGGTGAGTGTGAGTCGGTGAATGCGTGTGAGTTGGTGAGTGTGAGTCGGTGAGTGTGAGTCGGTGAGTGTGAGTCGGTGATTATGAGTCGTTGAGTTAGTGTGAGTCGGTGAGTGTGAGTGGGTGAGTGAGTGTGACTCGGAAAGTATAAGTCAGTGAGTGTGATTCGTTCAGTGTGAGTCGGTGAATGAGTGTGAGTTGGTGAGTGAGTGTGAGTCAGTGAGTGTGGTTTCAAGAAAAGGCGGTCCTGCACGGTTGCCATATTTTCTGTCCGTAGAGGTGTAGGGAATTCCAACAAGACCTACATCTCTGCTTTATTAACCTGGTCAAGGCCTATGATACCATCAGTAGGCCTGGGCTCTGGGTTTTTCTTCGTGCTTTCGGAGTTCCTGACCCTCTGCTCACGATCATTAAGGATCTTCATGATGGTGAGCGGGCCCGGGTAAAACTACGTGGCCGGGAGTCGGAGCCATTCGCTGTACACCTTGGGGTGCGACAGGGATGTCCTCTGGCTCCCATATTATTTAACATCGAGTTTGACCACGTAGTTCGTAAGGCCTTCAATAGCTGTACCGGAGGAATTTCCATCTGGTACAGATATAATGGGAGGCTGATCGATGCCCGGGTGCGGTCAAGGGATGGCTCCCTATTGCTCAGCCATGTTATGTATGCCGATGATCTGGTAATCGCTGCTCACTCAAAGAAGGAGTTTGAGGCGCTGCTGCTAAACCTGGAGCTTGCCACTAAGAGGTGGGGCCTTACCATCAGCCCCATCAAAACTAAGCACCTGCCAGGGTAATTTGTACCATCGGACACTCCACCCCCACAACTCCCAATTGGTGATAGGGCAGTTGTGGAGAGAGTGGAGAGTTTTCCATATTTGGGCAGTGTGCTCATGACCAGCTCCGGTTTGACTCCACCCCCACAACTCTCAATTGATGATAGGGCAATTGTGGAGAGAGTGGAGAGTTTTCCCATACCTGGGCAATGTGCTCGTGACCAGCTCCGGTTTGACTGATTCAGAGTAGAGGTTTCACTCTGAATCAGTCGAGCGGCATTATCTTTTAATCTGTTGCGTAACGCTGTGTGAAAGCTACCTGGTCTGTCGCTCCGCACGAAGGTTCAGGTCTTCTCGGCCACGGCCATTCCCTCCCTTCTCTACACTTGCGAAACGTGGACCCCCCGAATGGAACATCTTCGCCGGTTGGAAACATTTAGGCTGGCCTGCCTATGATCCATCCTGGGTTTAACCAGGCTGGATTGTGTGAGCAGCTCACAATCCTTGAAAGATCTGGACAAAGTCCCATCGGTGAGCTCCTCCGGCAGGCAAGGCTGCGTTGGCTGGGCCATGTAGCCCGCATGCCCAGTCACCGCATGCCTAAGCAGCTTTTGTTCGGCCAAATCGAGGGGGCTAAACAGGCGCGGCACGGGCTAGAGAAGAGATGTAGTGATGTGGTACAGGAGGATGTGGAGCTGAGTGGACTTGCCGATGATTGGTACCAGCGGTGTTAAGATAGGCCTCTGTGGAGGAGGCTCGTGAAGGACGCTACTGGGCAGTTGGAGGCAGTCGCCCTCCAACAACAACGGAGGGCGGAGGAGCGACGCTCACAACAACGAGCGGAGTGCCGGGTGGCTAAAGCACAGCAGGTTGGCACAGTAGGGGGCACAGGTGGTGCATCATCTCAGTCATCTCAGTCAGTCGACCCGTGGCACCTGGGTCTGCCCCGTGACCTCTTTGCCAGCGGGCGTTCGACACTTCACGTGGCCTCAAAGTGCACATAGCCTGGCACAAGCGTCGTGGTGACGTCACCGCCACTTAGTGGCGAATGGCGGTTGTTGTTGTGAGTCGGTGAGTCAGTAAGTGTGAGTGTGAGTCAGTGATTTTGAGTGGGTGAGTGTGAGTCAGTGAGTGTGAGTGGGTGAGTGTGAGTGGGTGAGTGATTCTGCCCACCCCCTCCCCTACTCACCGCCACCAGCGCGTCCCTGAGCTCGGCAGAGCGGCAGGAGCCGTTCCTCGCCTCGCTGCCGAGCGCCGCGAGTTTCTCCCTGAGGGCGACTTTGTTGTCGCGCTCCCTGGGGGCCTCGAGCGAGGTGAACACGAGGGCGCCCAGCAGCACGTAGAGCACATACGCGGCGCCCAGCAGCGCCACTCGCGGCGCGGCCGACACCCGGCACATCGCCATCGGCACCCCGGTCCTCCTCCTCCTGCTGCTGCTGCTGCTCCCCGCAATTCCTTCCTGCTGCCCCCCGCTCCTCCTCATCCTGCCCGCTCCTCCTCCTGCTGCCCCCCGCTCCTCCTGCTGCTGCCCCCCGCTCCTGTTGCTGCTGCCCCCCGCTCCTCCTGCTGCTGCTCTCTCGGCCTCGCACCTTCTCCACGCGACGATCTGCTCGTCTATCTCTTGCCTGCACCTCTCTACCTGCCACTTTGTTTTTAATCTTAGTTTTTATTTAATTATTTGTATTCACTTTATTATTATGTTTCTATCTACGTGACTTCACCGAATATGAATTCCTGCAGTCGCGAAAGTTTTAAGTCAAAATTGACCTGCCGCTTGTTCCCCGCTGTCACAGCCTCTCCTCTCTCCTGCTCGAATCCACGCGGCTCCTTCCTCTCCGCTCGTTCTTCTCCCCGATAGCCTCCCTCGAGACCCGCTGCTCCTCTTACCCCCCCGCCCGCCGCCGCTGTACACCGCGCCACTGCCCCAGACGACGAACCTCCTCCTGCTTCGGCTTTGACGCCTATCAATCCGCGGCGACTCCACCCTCGATACATAACATCTACACGTGTTAAGTGCTCGCCCCCCCCCCCCCCCCCGTGGCTCCCCCTCCCCATGGCTCCCTGCTCCGCCCTCCCCGTGCCCGCTACCTCCCGCCGTGGCTCCCCACTCCCCCTCTCCGACACGAACGAGTGGCGTCACTCGTTTATTTGAGAAGATATCAACACCACGTGGACACGCACACAGACGGGTGGGGAGCGGTGGTGCAGCGGTTCGCGCGCTGCACTGCGAACCCGGCCACCTGAGTTCGCTTCCTATCCGGGTTATGGTTCGGGTGCAGCACGCCGAGCGGACCGCGAGACGGAGACGCCGAGCTGCGACTCCCGATGCAGCGGGGTCGTCCTTGCCGTGCTCATCGGGGGGGTACTCAGCTCCTCCACGCCGAGCTGCGACTCGTCGACTCTTCTCTCAATCGACTCTGCACCGACTTCATTGACTCACGGCCGACCTCGCTCATCACCACCGTCTCTTGGACGCACAGTCGATCTCCCCCGGGCAGCCCCGGCCCCCGCTTACGGCGCAGTGCCGAGGTGATGGAGGGGAAGGGGTAAGGTTGATAGGATCCGGGCTAGAGGCGCGCTTTCACGTCCATTGGTGGGTGGTGTCTGTGGTGGTGGTGGTGGCGGCGGCGGTGGTGGTGATCACGGAGCCACCTCGCGCGGAGGCTACGTGTCTTTGCCGACCACCATCAGCGGGATCTCGGAGCGGGCGTTAAAAGTGTGTATCACGAATATATCAAACTCCGAGCGTCTGCGACGGCCGCTGCCCCCTTTTTGGGAGAAGGGGGGCCGAGCCCTGGGGGACTGCGCCCTGGGGCACTGCGCCCTGGGGGACTGAGCCCTCGGGCACTGCGCCCTGGGGCACTGCGCCCTGGGGGACCCTCCGGCCCCTTCCCCGCCGCGGGGTCTCTCCGGCTCCGCTCGCCCCGTCTCGGTCACGGCGCGCTCCAAGGCGCCGGTGATGGCGCTGAAGAGCGCGGAGAGCCACGCGAGGCCGAAGAAGAACCACGCGGCCACCAGCGTCTTGTAGAAGGCGGGGTACTGCACGGTTTCGTTCCTGCCTGTGGAGGGAGGTGGGGGCAGTGGGGGCTCTCAGCGAGGGGATACCACTCGGCGGGGTCCTCGCGTTCATCACCACGGGGGTTCCCCACGCTGTCTACGTCGTCCCGATCGCCGCGCGATGCCGCCGCGACTGCTGTCGCTCGCCTGCCGCCCGTGCTGCGGGGGGGGGGGGGGCACCGGCGCATCGCGACCGGGGACGCGGGCGACTCGCCGCTGCGTTGGTGCCGCCCTCGACGTAGCGGTCGATGCTCGCTCTGCTGGCCCCACCGACTGCGGCACTCCGAATGTGTGGTCAGCATCTCGCACCGAGCGATCAGCATCTATCGTACCCTCATTGTCGCCAGTTAACGCGGAGCCCCGTTTAAAGCGCTGGCACTTCGGGAACGAGCGCCACCCTGTGACCCTACCCCCCCCCCCCCATGGGATGTTTATCGATCCCACCCCCAGATTCGCACGCGGTGGCCGCCGCCGAAGCCGCGTGCCGCGCAGACGAACGCGCGGCCGTACCCTAGGTGGCCAGGAGACGGCGGCACCGTACAGCACAAAAATGTGGACTCCACCTGTCCCACCTTTATGGGATAGAGTGTTTCCCCCTCGCATGCGTGGGTGTTCTCCGGGTGCTCATTGATTGACTGATAATACCTTAATATATAGAGGAACGCAGAGCTTGGATAATTTTAGCGACGGCTCCTCACCGCGTGACCGACTGCTGCCATCCGGCTCATCTGTGGTTCTTCCTCTCACTGCCTCTCTCTAAATCGTCCTCTCTCTCTCTGTCTACGAGAGCGAGTGAATACGGTGTGGTGGAGACGCGGCGTTACACCGGGGGTAGGGGGGCTTGCTATCGTTATCGGAAGCGTATTAAGTGTGCAGCTGAGCAGCACGAGCAGCGGGAGGGAGTCCCCGCACTGACACCGATGCGCTCTCTGCAATGCGTCCAATCGCGTTTTGTGCACAAAAGCTACCGTCGCACTTGGAGTCGTGAGAAACGTCGCAATGAATACGTTCGTGCGGGCCCCGGCTGCGTCTAGAGGCCGCTACATTCACCACGATTTTTTTAACGAACGCGTATCCGCACATTCACCACGGTGGCAACGCCGAGCGGCAGGTCCATGGGAGGGGGGGGGGGGGGGTCGGCAGCCGCTGTGACCGCGTGCCCCCCGGGTGCGGCACGCAGTGAGGATGCAGCGTCGGGTTTGACGAGGTGGCTTGACCGGTGACGAGGTGGCGGTGACCTCACCGACCACGTAGTCCCCGAAGCCGATGGTGCTGAGCGTGATGAAGGAGAAGTAGTAGCTCTCGGCGTAGCTCCATCCCTCCACCGTCATGAACACGGTGCTCGGGATGAGCAGGAAGAGCGTGAACCCCACGCCCAGGAAAAGCCCCCCGCTCAGCAAACGCACCTGGCACGGGAGGGGGGGGTAGCTCAGCGAAGTTCCAAATGGCCTCAGGAACCAACGGGAGTCTCACCCTGTGGGTGGCAATGCCTTGCAGGGGGTGGGGGGGGGGGGGGGTGCAGGTAGCAGGCTGCGGCATGGATACCGTGCAGGAGAAATGTGGATTGTCCACGGAGAAAATCAGCGCCACATTACTAATACTAAACACACTGATACACAACGTGAAACCAGTGACTTACTAACACTAAACACACTGATACACAACGTGAAACCAGTGGCTTACTAACACTAAACACACTGACACACAACGTGAAACCAGTGACTTACTAACACTAAACACACTGATACACAACGTGAAACCAGTGACTTACTAACACTAAACACACTGATACACAACGTGGAACCAGTGACTTACTAACTCCAAACACACTGATACACAACGTGAAACCAGTCCCTTACTAACACTAAACACACTGATACACAACGTGAAACCAGTGACTTACTAACACTAAACACACTGATACACAACGTGAAACCAGTGACTTACTAACACTAAACACACTGACACACAACGTGAAACCAGTGACTTACTAACACTAAACACACTGACACACAACCTGAAACCAGTGACTTACTAACACTAAACACACTGATACACAACGTGAAACCAGTGACTTACTAACACTAAACACACTGATACACAACGTGAAACCAGTGACTTATTAACTCCAAACACACTGATACACAACGTGAAACCAGTCCCTTACTAACACTAAACACACTGATACACAACGTGAAACCAGTGACTTACTAACACTAAACACACTGATACACAACGTGAAACCAGTGACTTACTATCACTAAACACACTGACACACAACGTGAAACCAGTGACTTACTAATACTAAACACACTGATACACAACGTGAAACCAGTAGCTTACTAACACTAAACACACTGATACACAACGTGAAACCAGTGGCTTACTAACACTAAACACACTGACACACAACGTGAAACCAGTGACTTACTAACACTAAACACACTGATACACAACGTGAAACCAGTGACTTACTAACACTAAACACACTGATACACAACGTGAAACCAGTGACTTACTAACTCCAAACACACTGATACACAACGTGAAACCAGTCCCTTACTAACACTAAACACACTGATACACAATGTGAAACCAGTGACTTACTAACACTAAACACACTGATACACAACGTGAAACCAGTGACTTACTAACACTAAACACACTGACACACAACGTGAAACCAGTGACTTACTAACACTAAACACTGATACACTACATGAAACCAGTGACTTACTAACACTAAACACACTGATACACAACGTGAAACCAGTGGCTTACTAACACTAAACACTGATACACTACGTGAAACCAGTGACTTACTAACACTAAACACACTGATACACAACGTGAAACCAGTGGCTTACTAACACTAAACACACTGATACACAACGTGAAACCAGTGACTTACTAACACTAAACACACTGATACACAACGTGAAACTGGTGACTTACTAACACTAAACACACTGATACACAACGTGAAACCAGTGGCTTACTAACACTAAACACACTGATACACAACGTGAAACCAGTGGCTTACTAACACTAAACACACTGATACACAACGTGAAACCAGTGACTTACTAACACTAAACACACTGATACACAACGTGAAACCAGTGACTTACTAACACTAAACACACTGATACACAACGTGAAACCAGTGACTTACTAACACTAAACACACTGATACACAACGTGAAACCAGTGACTTACTAACACTAAACACACTGATACACAACGTGAAACCAGTGACTTACTAACACTAAACACACTGATACACAACGTGAAACCAGTGACTTACTAACACTAAACACACTGATACACAACGTGAAACCAGTGACTTACTAACACTAAACACACTGATACACAACGTGAAACCAGTGGCTTACTAACACTAAACACTGATACACAACGTGAAACCAGTGACTTACTAACACCAAACACACTGATACACAACGTGAACATAGTCCTTACTAATACAAATAATAATACAGTGATACACAACATGACACCAACGTCTTACTTATACCCATAATACAGGTTTTTGGGTTAGATCGCGGAAATATATAAACGTGTCGTTAAACCCGCCACCACCCGACACAGCCAACTAGCAAGGGTTGTCATGTAAACAGAACGTGGCCAATTCGTCAGTAGTACAGCAACACCGGTGTGCAAAGCCACAACATTTACACTCTGAGTACGACGTTTCGCCAGTAATTACAACTAGCTTCATCAGGCGACAGCCAGATTTCTGAAAGTCTACGTGTTAAACGTATACTAAACACACCAGCACACAACGTGACACACATTCCTTACCAACACCAAACACAACTGCTGGCGTGTATTATGAACCTGACTGACACGAAACGCAGCGACACACAACGTGGGACACATTCCTTACCAACACCAAACACAACTGTTGGTGTGTATTATGATCCTGACTGACACGAAACACAGCGACACACAACGCGGAACACATTCCTTACTAACACTAAACACAACTGTTGGCGTGTATTATGATCCTGACTGACACGAAACACAGCGACACACAACGCGGAACACATTCCTTACTAACACCAGACACAACTGTTGGTGTGTATTATGATCCTGACTGACACGAAACGCAGCGACACACAACGTGGGACACATTCCTTACCAACACTAAACACAACTGTTGGCGTGTATTATGATCCTGACTGACACGAAACGCAGCGACACACAACGTGACACACATTCCTTACCAACACAAAACACAACTGTTGGCGTGTATTATGATCCTGACTGACACGAAACACAGCGACACACAACGTGGAACACATTCCTTACCAACACCAAACACAACTGTTGGCGTGTATTATGAACCTGACTGACACGAAACGCAGCGATACACAACGTGGAACACATTCCTTATCAACACCAAACACAACTGTTGGCGTGTATTATGATCCTGACTGACACCAAACACAGCGACACACAACGTGGAACACATTCCTTACCAACACCAAACACAACTGTTGGCGTGTATTATGATCCTGACTGACACAAAACGCAGCGACACACAACGTGGGACACATTCCTTACTAACACTAAACACAACTGTTGGTGTGTATTATGATCCTGACTGACACCAAACACAGCGACACACAATGTGGAACACGTGGCTTCACTTCTCGACAACTGCTTGTTGTGCTTAGTTCGTCGACCGGTCCAGAACCTTCGATTCGCACAGTTGGCTACGTACGGTGCGAAAGAAGTTCAACATACACACTTACTGTGTCTCTGGGTCTGTGTCTCTGTGTGTTCGCGCCTGTATTCCTGTGTGTCCGTGTATCCACGTCTGCGTCTCCACGGTGGCGAGATGTTATCTCCCTCGCCTGTAATCCAGGAGGTCGTGGGTTCGATCCGAACCCTGGCCCCTCTAATCCTCTATGTGTTCTCTCTTTCCCCGTGGTCGCCAGGATTTTCCTCCGGGTCCTCCGGCTTTTCCTTCTGAATTTAGATTCAACATGCGTTTAGAGTATTTGCCTGCTATAAATTTCCACATGAGCCACTTCATATTCTTGGTTCTTTCGGTAAAGTCACGTAGAAGAGAAATAAAAAAATATAATAAAAATAAAACACACCTGATGATGATTGCTTTGTGTTGCAAGCGAAACGTCGTGAGAATTTTAACGTTTTATTTTTCATTATTTTATTATATCCCTTCTACGTGACTTTACCGAAAGAACCAAGAATATGAATCCCTGCAGTCACGAAAGCTTTAAATCGAAATATAAGCTACTTCATTAAGGTGTTATTTGTGGCCAGGTCGCTTATGAAAAAGAGTGAATAGCTCAGTGTGCTTTAACGGATAAATAAAATAGTTGAAAAAGTCAGTTTAACACGTAGGCTTTCGCGACCAATATTATTCATAATAAAGGTTTTTGGGTTAGATCGCGTTATTTATAAATGTGTCGTAACCCTCCACTACCCGACACGGCCAAACAGGACTGCTGCTCTATTTAAGACCGGGAGCAAGTGAGGGCTTTACCATTCTGGCGAATTGCCTGATGAAGCTGGATGTAATTACCAGCGAAACGTCGTACTCAAATTTTAAATGATGTTGATTCACTCTTCAACACACCGGTGGGCTAAAGTAGTGAACTATTTGTCCTTTGTAAACGTGACACATTTTTTACCGTTTGGCCGTGTCAGGTAGTGGAGGGTTACGACACATTTATAAATAACGCGATTTAACCCAAAAACTTTTATTATGAAGTTGAAAAAGTGTCAATTTCTCGGTGCCCCCGTGTCTGTCCCTTCGAGTTCGAGCAACAATGGGGCCGCTGTCCCTGGAGTCGTCCCCCCCCCCCTCCCCGCGACCTCAGAGCCCCCACGTGGCTTGGTCACCTCACCTCCTTGAACCCCCTTTTCCGCAGGGCCCCCGCGATCAACTCGACGCCGTGCAGGGTGGCCTGGCCCGCCTTGTTGAGCACCACCAGGTTGAGCGGAATCCCGAAGGTGGCGAAGATGGTGCAGAACACCTTGCCAATCACGGTGGCAGGAGCCAGGTTCCCATAGCCTGGGGGCCCGGCGGGGGGGGGGGGGGGCACGTGGGGAAGAGCAGAATGTGGGGGGGGGGGGTAGCGGTTGGGCGCTGCGGTCGATCCTGTAGCCTGCGCAAGCTAATTGGTCACAAGTAGCCCTCACTTCACGACGGGCCCTCAGGGCCCCCACTCACCGATGGTCGTTACTGTGGTCCCCACGAAGAAGAAGGCCCCTTCGGGGTTCCAGTTGATGCTCTCACGGCCCGGGCTGATCGTCACGTGAATCCCGGCCTTTTGGGCCGTGGTGATGGCCTGTGGGCGCGAGCAGAGGACCGGCGGCATTCACAAACTGCAGTTCTACAACCCATGGCCTCCACCTCCCAACGATGGCCATCATCGCCATCACCGTACGCAATGATAATTCACTGTGTAACAAAATTTGTTTTTCTTTTTGTTTCTGGATAGTGAGTGTTATTTCCTAATTGCTTATGCCTAAGAAGTGCATAAAATGGCCATTATTCCCCACAGACTTTGCTTTTGTGGCCAGAACATTGATCTTGTGAAATGTACCTATTTTCACTGAAAAAAACGTGTGCTTTTGTGTCTTTCGTTCACGTAAAGTCCCGGTCACAAGAGCCAAATTTGTGGGCAATAATAGCCATTTTCCATACTTTTGAGGCATAAGCAATTTTTAAAAAAATTACCACTTAGCACCCGGGAACAAAACTTGCGGTTACATCGTGTAACGATCTCGCCACTCACTCACTGTGGGATGGAAGCCTCCACAAGCCGCCGCCAGCGCTCACGGTTTGCCGCAAGATCCACAACCCGCCGAGCGGCGCTCACACGATCCTGCTCTCTTCGCTCCGTCTCCCGTGGCGGATTTTTTTTGGACGTCCACTCCGACGCGATCAGCTCCGTCACTGCCACCTCGTCGGTGTTCTTGGCCATCGGCCATTGTCCCTACTGCCCTTGCCCCGCGCCCCACTCACTTCTTACCAACAGCTGGAATGCTGCCACGGACCGGCATTGTGTTTGCCTTGATAACGACAACAATGTCAGCTCGTCACGCACCGCACGGCATCCACCTCGCTCTCCAAAACGGAGGGGACAACTCAGAGGCGCCAGGAGTAGGAACCACAAACGAACGGGAATACGGCGGCGGCAGCGGCAGCAGCAGCATTCACGCCGTGGGCCGACGCTACCCAACGATTTGCCGAGCTCTGCGAACCTCTATATTCGCAGATGCTGTCAGACAATAAAAAAAGTGTTTCATACATGTCGGCGGAAAACTGAGTAACCCAGAGAAAAACCCCCACGTGTGCGTGTGGGCAGCACTATACCCCTAAGCAGATCTGAACATTTTCTGTACTGCCTTCTCGTGGGAAGCCAGAGAATGACATCTAAACGTGTACAGGAGGAGAGCGCTCGTGACGTGCGCGCGAATCCACCAACACTTTACGTCTGCCTCCACAGTGCTGGACTACAGGCGGCCACGTGCGGTGGGACCCACCGAGCCCCCCCCCCCCCCCACCGTCCCAGGGCGATCGCAGCACGCCGCCTCTTGTCGCGTTCCATTCGTCGACGTCCGTGGATCTGCCCCGCCCGTGGCTGGAGGCTGTCCATGGTGCTGGACCACCGTGGCCTATCCCGGGCGGTTCTCACCGATGAGACACGTTCAGCTCGAGGAGACGTCGCTGCGTCTCTGCGTTATCAAACGGCATCGTTGCGATCCTAGTCCGCCTTCGGTAACAAGATATGGCAGATCCAGCTGCGTTTCACACCCGCATCTCCGCAGGCGAAGATCACTCATCTTTCACTCTGGAAAGATGTTCTAAATCGAACCAAACATTAAACTAATTTTCAATGGTACAGTATATTTTTCAAGTAGTGGTACCCCAAACTTTCGCAGCTCTTAAATTCCCTTTTCACACCATCAATAGGTAAACTCCCCCCCCCCCCCGCGCCAACCGCATGTTCACCCGCACGTACACCACCTCTATGCTAAGTCGGCCAATCAAATGCCAATTTTTATGCTAATTCCTTTGTCAAGGCACCTTGTTTCCTCGCACACAGCTTAAAGCGCTGTCCTCGAGACAGCCTGATCCCTTCACCTGATGAAGGCCGCTTGTGTTGTGGCCGAAACGTCGTGATTTTTGTTGTTTTATTTTTTACCTACTTGGTGACTTTACCGAATAGAACCAAAGAGAAACGATGAAGTATGGTCAGAGCAACATCTCGCGACCCGCACAGCGCGGGGGGAGGCCTGCATCCAGCAGTGGCTTGACGAAGGGCTCTGTTGGTAGCAATTGAGCAACGTACACAAACCTGGTGCTTAACTCCAGCCGGAGCGATGCGGGAACCGTTGCTCGTGTGTTTACATTGGCACCAGGCCATCTCGTATTGTTTTTCTTTCAGGAGGCTATTCATAGGAATATCGGGTACAAGTACAAGCGATGGCACTATTGTGGATGAGTGTCACGTGTTCGCTAGTGGTAGTGCCTTATGCCGGCAGTTGATCCCTGGCGATGGCTCCCGCTGTGGTGGTACTGATGCTCTGCAAGACTTTTGACAGTTCCTGGCCACACGGACCCACAACGTCAGGCGGACGGCCAGCAACAGACGGCGCTGTTAGATAAGAGTTACACGCGTGTCTTAAATGGAGCAAGGTTGTTGTTGTTTAGAGCCTAGGGGGGAGAAAAGACGTTGGTATCAAGGGGACTCCATCGTGGAGGAGCGCGAGGGAAGTAGCGAGCGGAGAGAAGTGTTGCAACCCTCAGTGTGGTGAGCAGGCGAGTATGTGAGTGTGTGAGCAGGCGGGTGTGTGAGTAGGTGAGTGTGTGAGTGTGTGAGCAGGCGAGTGTGTGAGTGTGTGAGCAGGCGAGTGTGTGAGTGTGTGAGCAGGCGAGTGTGTGTGTGAGTGAGCAGGCGAGTGTGTGAGTGTGTGAGCAGGCGAGTGTGTGAGTGTGTGAGCAGGCGAGTGTGTTAGTGACCAGGCGAGTGTGAGTAGGTGAGTGGTGAGTAGGTGAGTGGTGAGTAGGTGAGTGGTGAGTAGGTGAGTGATTGGATGATTGGGTGAGTGAGTGGGGAAGCAAGCGACTGGACTGAATCAAATCTGCATGCAAGCTTTCACGAACAATGTTACGATTCATACTCTTTGGTTCTATTCGGTAAAGTCACATAGGTAAAAAAATAACAAAAATCAAACCAAAGAATGTTACGATTCATTACGGGAAACCCTTGATTATCGCGGCTTTGTCGCTCGCGATTTCGACATATCGCAGGCAACCTTTGAGTGTGCCAATTTAGCTGCCGTGTCAGTGGCTGATACCGTGACGCGGGGCGGGCGAGGCAATGGCATCTCAAACTTTGCTCTGCAAGCATCTCGCGGACAGATATCCCCCGGCAAGCCTATGAACAGACTGTTGGGGCAAGTGCCGCTCGTGAGCACCTCTGAAGGCCGGAGCGGCACACGCCCGGCCATCATTGTCTCCCCAGTGGCGATGTTTTCACACCGCACCAGCCACTCACGAGAGGCTGAGTCCACCTCGGCGAGGCCCAGGATCGGTTCGGACAATCGTCACCCGTTTTTGAGTGGTAGTCGACCCCGGGTCGTCAGGTTCGTGGCGCCGCGTGCTAACCGCAGCGCTACCGCTCCCCACTCGCGGACAAACACATGCACACACACACACAAAACACCCGCCTAGTGTTGTTTATATAGGCCTTTTAAGAATAATTCTGCCAATTTTTTTTATAATTGATCGGAGCGAGCATGGGGCATGAAAGGGAGAGGAACACCCCACCCTCACACCCAGATGCCTTACCGCATTAAAAGCAACTTAAGGGACGAGGCCAAGAAGAGCCATTAAATAATAAACTCTGGGGCAAAGGGGAGGTTAACGACGATCTGAAAAATCTTCTGGGTTCTTTCGGTAAAGTCACGTAGAATGGGAATAAAATAATAAAAAAATAATAACAGAATAAAATTCTCACGACGTTTCGGCCACAACGCAAGTAGCCTTCCTCAGGTGAAGAAACAGGACTGTCTGGAAGACAGCGCTTGAATGGACACTGCCAAGCATGGACAGCGTCTTTTAAGCTGTGTGGGAGGAACAGAGGGCCTTGACAAAGGAGTTGACAAATAAATTAGCATGTTACATGCTAATGGAGAGCATGTTACATGCTAATGGAGAGCATGTTACATGCTAATGGACAGCATCTTTTAAGCTGTGTGGGAGGAACAGAGCGCCTTGACAAAGGAGTTAACACACCTCCGAGCGACGGGGCCGACGCTGCTCTTCACTCACCACCCCCCACATGAACACACACATCTCCACATAGAGCCCCCACATGAACACACACACACACATCTCCACATAGAGCCCCCACATGAACACACACACACATAGAGCCCCCACATGAACACACACACATCTCCACATAGAGCCCCCACATGAACACACACACACACCCACATAGAGCCCCCACATGAACACACACCCACCCCCACATAGAGCCCCAACATGAACACACACACACTCCCACATAGAGCCCCCACATGAACACACACACACACCCACATAGAGCCCGCACATGAACACACACATCCCACATAGAGCCCCCACATGAACACACACACACCCCCACATAGAGCCCCCACATGAACACACACACACCCCCACATAGAGCCCTGAGGGGAGGTCACCTGACCGACAGGTTTTCACCCAGAAGCCCTCTGATGGGACCAAACTTCACGGTTTCCTGCGACCAGGGAATTGGGCGACCTCCCCCGAGGCTAACTCGCACCACGGCGCCGTGACTTGGGTTGTAATCACGTGGTCACGACGGGGCTGCTGAGCCACCGCGGGTAGAAAACACCCACAACACACACGGGTCAGCAGGCAGGTGGGGGGGACGGAGTCACGAACGGCGGTAAAAACAGGGCCGGTCCTCTGATTGGTAGGACAGATGTGCTTGTTTAGAGGGTGAAAAGCGGGCGTCTGAGAGAGCACCGGTCCGGGGATATTGGCGGGAAATCCGAGCCACCTGATTGGACGGGAGGCCAGCGGATCAGCGCCGATTTATCTTTGACGTAGAGGACAATAAAAAGGGTAGAGAAGGTAGGGAGAGGGAGTTCGTATTCAACTCAAGCCAGGCTCGGGGCGGTCGACTTACAAGCCACTCGAACGTCCGTGTGATGAGTCGAAGTGCAGCGAGGATCCGACCCAGCAGCTCCGTACGAGTCGAACCGTGAGTACCCGAGAGTGAGATATTGAGGCCATTGTGAGATTGTCTTAGGAGAGTGATTTGAAAGAGACGATACAGATCGGGTCTTAGGCCTTCGGGAGATAGGTTAGACCTGCCCTGCTGACTCAAACTGACTCGGGTAATTTAGCCTCGGACTCGCTGATAATAAACTGCTGGGGATCAATAAAGATTGTCGTGTGGTTTCTGCGAGGGTGGAACGGACGCATGTTGGTGTGCGTCGTTGTACCCTGTGTTTGTGCGTGAGGGTGTATTTACCCACGTGTTTGTGCTCGTCCATGCGTGTAGCTCGTGGTTAGCGTGTGCGTGTGGTGAGCGGCGGCGGACTCATACAGGGGCACGTGAGATTACTCATACGCCCTTTCGTTTAACGTGTGCGTGGGGTGAACGGGCGGCGTGCCCGTGAGATTATTCATACAGACCTTTAAATAAATCTCCGAGACAACCCCCCAATCGGCTGCGCGTGTGCGAGTGACGTCCCTGCCCTCTGACCCCCGACCCCGCGTCCCGCGCGCGCGATTGGTGCGTGGTACGGGAGAGGAGCGACGTCGGATTTCGAGTGAGTGGGTGTGAGTGAATGTACGCGGAGATTGTGTGAATTGATTCCAGGTGGCTAAGCGCCAGCCACGAATCATGCCCCGAGGGGCCGCAGCGAACGGGGGGGGGGGGGGTAGTGGGTGAGCAGT